CACAGCTACCCACACCGGTCCAGCAAACAGGGAGCACAACATATACACCATATGGCCCAACCGCCTCCAGAACAGCACTTGGCAGGGCCCAGGTGTTGGCATACATGCAGGACAAACTCCCTTCACAACTCAGCATTGGTATTAGGCACACTGGGCCACACACGGTAATATCCAGTTTCTGAGGACCCAAAAACCCCTTGGGCAGGGGCAGCCCAAGGACAGCAAGCAATGCCCATGCATCCATGCTGCTCTGGGGTGCCCACTTGCCTGCAAGAATGGAGAAGCTTTCCTCAGACCCAGGACCTCTGAGGCCCCTCCAGTGTCAGGACCACATCTGCTCCAGGGAAGCTCTGTGCAAGAGTTGATCACCCTCTCCCCCTAGGGACATGGCCATGACAGTGTGACACCTGCACTCACAGGAAACTCCTCACACTTATTTCTGCTTTCCCAGACCCTTTTATTTATTTATTTTTTTCCTCCTTCTCAGGCAAGAAGTTTATCCTGTGTTCCTCCTTTTGCCTTTGTTGAGGGTATCTTCAGGATGTCTGCAGCTCTCTGGTGCCCAGATGCACTTTAAGGATGCCCATGATTTCAAGGCTCAGTTCTCAGGCTGGCAGACATTTCTCCTGTCAGTGCTCAGCTGCCACCTGATGTTGGCACTTTCCCATTACAGGCAGGTTACCTCTGCAACAGCTTCCATCAACAGGGTGTCATGTCCTTGCTCAATTACAGCACTGTTTCCTTATGGATCCACGTATGGCCCTGCTTGGTACAGTTTTGTCGTGTCCAGAAGGAATCAACTATGCAGGCAAGAGGGAGTATCCAAAGGTGTTCTGGGGTAAACTCTTTGCCTTTCCTGGTGTCGGAAGAATGCAGTCAGTCACAGCTACAAGAGAAAGCAACCAGTTTAGCCCAGGTGAAGGTCTGGCCCTGCCAGGGCTGAGGTGTGAGGTAGACCGCAAGAAAGAGACCCAGGCAGAGCTCTGACAAACATTTCTGGTTTGTTGGGATGGCCCATTGCCCTGGAATGGCTGGCCTGTGTTGCAATACTCTAACTGCTTGGCAGTTCCTGGGGACATAGGTTTCTTAATTGCCCTACTTTTTATTGCCTACTCTGAAAGCTCCAGGAGACTGTTAGCAGTATATAAACCTTGGGTGAAGTTCTGCGCACATGTCCTTGGCAAGTGGAGAAAACTGTGGATGGGAGCTGCTTCTGTGTTTGCAGAAGGGAGCTGAGCTTGGATGAAGCACCCACTAGGCTGAGCATCCCTCTTGCGCAACTGGAAATCACTTTGCTGGTTGCACTCTGAAACCCCTTTGCTCAGAAATCTCTCAGGTGAAGGAGTGACAGATATCCCCTTTGCCTTCAGGAGAACCAGCCTGAAATGGGCTGGATGGGAATCTGTCCCCTCTGCGATGCATTTCTGAGACAATGCTGGCAGGAGTCTATAGACAGGTGTGAGGAGATCAGCCTGGATCCAGCACTGACTCCCAGGAGGACCTGACATTGTCCAGGGGTGGAAATCCATGACTGACAGGCACTATCAGGAGCATCGCAGCAGTGTGATTCTCCTGTACATCCCAAGGCACAAAACAGAGGAGGCATGCATGGGGACTGAAAGAGATCTTTGGCAGGCTTAAAAGATCATAGAATCATAGAATCATAGAATATCCTGAGTTGGAAGGGACCCTTAAGGATCATCAAGTCCAACTCTTGACACCGCACAGGTCTACCCAAGTTCAGACCATGTGACTAAGTGCACAGTCCAATCTCTTCTTAAATTCAGACAGGCTCGGTGCAGTGACCACTTCCCTGGGGAGCCTGTTCCAGTGTGCAACCACCCTCGCCGTGAAGAACCCCCTCCTGATGTCAAGCCTAAACTTCCCCTGCCTCAGCTTAACTCCGTTCCCGCGGGTCCTGTCACTGGTGTTAATGGAGAAAAGGTCTCCTGCCTCTCGACACCCCCTTACGAGGAAGTTGTAGACTGCGATGAGGTCTCCCCTCAGCCTCCTCTTCTCCAGGCTGAACAGGCCCAGTGCCCTCAGCCGTTCCTTGTACGTCTTCCCCTCCAGGCCTTTCACCATCTTCGTAGCCCTCCTCTGGACACTCTCCAACAGTTTCATGTCCTTTTTATACTGTGGTGCCCAGAACTGCACACAGTACTCGAGGTGAGGCCGCACCAGCGCAGAGTAGAGCGGGACAATCACCTCCCTTGACCTACTAGCGATGCCGTGCTTGATGCACCCCAGGACACGGTTGGCCCTCCTGGCTGCCAGGGCACACTGCCGGCTCATATTCAACTTGTTGTCTACCACGACCCCCAGATCCCTCTCTTCTAGGCTGCTCTCCAGCGTCTCGTCGCCCAGTCTGTACGTGCAGCCAGGGTTTCCCCGTCCCAGGTGCAGGACCCGGCACTTGCTCTTATTGAACTTCATGCGGTTGGCGATCGCCCAGCTCTCCAATCTGTCCAGATCCCTCTGCAAGGCCTTTCCACCCTCATTCGAGTCCACAACTCCTCCAAGTTTGGTGTCATCAGCAAACTTGCTCAAAATGCCTTCTATTCCTACATCCAGATCGTTTATAAAAATATTGAAAAGTACCAGCCCTAAAATGGAGCCTTGAGGGACCCCACTGGTGACCGCCCGCCAGCCTGACGCAGCCCCATTTACCATAACCCTTTGGGACCTGCCCGTTAGCCAATTGCTCACCCATCGTATGATGTTTTTATTTAGCTGTATGGTGGACATTTTGTCCAGTAGGATCCTATGGGAAACCGTGTCAAAAGCCTTGCTGAAGTCCAAAAAAATCACATCAGCTGGTTTCCCTTGGTCCACCATACGGGTGATCTTATCATAAAAGGAAATCAGGTTAGTTAGGCAGGACCTACCCTTCACAAACCCATGCTGGCTGGGACCAATGACTGCATTGTCCCCCAGGTGCGCCTCAATACGTCCTTGAGGTTTCCACTGTGTCCCCCCTTCAAGCACAGGACAAACAAACATCTGTTGGCCATGTCACAGGTGTGGTTGATCGTACCTTGAATATGGCATGGTTGATTGTTCACACAAGGCAAAATCAGCTCAACATCCTCATCAAGAGGAGGATCGAGGCTGAGAGGAAGAGGCATAGGACTTGGGAGACACCCTGTAGGGGGGGGGGGGGGAAGCGCTGGACAAGAAAGGGGCACGCATGGAGTGAAAAGAAATTTCCTGAGCAGTTGAAGAAGCTGATTTGGATTCTGAAAGAAGGAGAGCCATTTCATGGTGTTGGTGATACTTTGGTTTTTCCTCACAGTAGTTGAGCTTCTGTGGAAATGGCTTCTGGTATGTAAGATGAGCCCTCAGTGATTGTGACAAAGAAGCAAAACAATATGCCTCAAGGTCCCTGGCTCTTTGAGATGTATTTGGTCATCTGTTAGCAGAAACCTGACACAGCTTTGAAGGCTTGGCAGGAAGAGTGGCAGTCTGAAGGGCCTGCAGGTTGTTCCTTCAGGCGTTCCTGAGAGTCAGAGCCTTCAGACTTCCCAAGAGGATGTCTGAACAGCCCAAACATAGTGCTGGCAGGCAGGTGCAGGCAAGGCAGGCAAGGAAAAGGGGAGGCAGTAGAGAAGGCACAGGTATCAAGGAAAGAGACTCACAAGTGTATGGCTGGCAGATATCGTTGTCCAATAAAAACACTGGATTCATTATGTGGTATGCAGTGAGCCAATCCACACACTAAGTCAAGGGATTGTTTATTTCAGAGTTGCACAAGTCTGGGTATGCAGTGGTTTCCCTCAAAAGCTGGCAAGTATAAGGCCTTTCCATGCCACTCTTTATACAACCCCTTTACAGTATATTTACATGTTTGTACAATCCCATAGCCTCTGATAGGTTACATAATTAGCATAGTGCTAACATGTCAAAGTCATTCAGCTTATCCTCAGAGACTGGTTGTGATAAGAGAAACCGCTGGAGTGCCCCATGCCCACCTGTTCTGCTGAGTGTCGTGACAAAAATAAGCTTCTTTCACATTAGGATCCTCTTCTTTTTCTATCTTACAAAAACAGACACTAAATTACCCGTGCGTCCTTGTGTTTTTGTTTTTGTTTGTTTGTTCTTTTTTGTTTGGTTGGTTGGTTGGTTGGTTTTGTTTTGCTTATTGTTTTGTGTTTTTTTTTTTGTATGTTTGTTTTGTTTTTGTTGTTGTTGTTGTTTTTCTTTGTTTTTTTTTTTTTTTTCGAGATCAGTAAAGGGCCATGCACAAACTTTACCCAAAAATGGGTATTCCCATATGAGAACAGGAGGAGGCAAAACATGTCAGAAGGTTTACCCTGAGAGCAGCATTTAGTGGGATAGGGTCACAACCTGGGAGCTGGGCCACCTCCGGACACAAGGGTCCCAAAGAGCCCCTAAGGAGTCACCCAGGCTGACATCACTTGCCTTTACTGGACCCTTCCAGCACATGAGCTGAGTCTTCTGCCCACACTAAAATGTGTTGCATGGAAATACTTCGGCCTCCCTACCTGCCACTCAAATGTTGCTTTAATTGAGGAAAGGGCATAAAGCAGGAAATGAAAAACAGCAGCACAGGAAGGAAACACACAGCCCATATCATTAGCTGGGATGTTTTGCATTCAAGAGGAGCTTGTCAGAAAATAATCACAGCTTCAAGGGATGCCTCTGGACATGGGGCAGCTAAGGTCCACTATAAAAGCCAGCCCAGCCCCGTGCTCCCTCATCCACTTCTCTAGCCTTCTCCTCCTTAGGAACCAGGTGAGTGTGAAGCCCCTTCTTGTCCCTCTCATTCTCCACAAAGGAGTCTCAGCTCTATGGATCTCTTAGCTGCAATCAGCTCTGTTCCATGACAAATCTTGGAGTTGCTGGTATTGTGAGTGGGAAGTGGGGAGAAGATTTGCTATGTAACGAGAGACAGGTGTGCTGACAGGCTGCTCCTCATGCATCCCCATGTTCTGCTTCCTCCCTGCGTTCTCTCCCAGGTGAACCTCCTGCCCCAAGACATGTCCTGCTACAACCAGTGCCAGCCCTGCCTGCCATGCCAGCCCTGCGGCCCGACCCCGCTGGCCAGCAGCTGCAATGAGCCCTGTGTCAGGCAGTGCCAGAACTCCACCGTCGTCATTGAGCCCTCTCCCGTGGTGGTGACCCTGCCCGGCCCCATCCTCAGCTCCTTCCCTCAGAACACCGTTGTGGGATCCTCCACCTCCGCTGCCGTTGGCAGCATCCTCAGCTGTGACGGAGTCCCCATCAACTCCGGGTGCTGTGACCTCTCTTGTATTGCCAGCCGCTACTGTTGCCGCCCCTGCTAAAGATGCCAGACCCTTTCCCAGACCAGGACCCCAGGAACTCACAACATGCTGCTGGACAGAAGAACAAACTTTTTGCTGTTGTTTTAAGAGAAGCTGACCATCTTTGCCTTGTCCTGTAAAGACAGACTGGACGGGGCCAGCCTGCGTTCTCTGACAACACAGCCAATGCCTACCTTTCCTGTTTTCCAGTTACTCACTCTTTTTCTTTTTTTCCCTTGTTACCCTCTTCTGAGGGTAACCTCTTCTGTGAGGCCCTATAAACCAGCCTGGATTGACCTGCATGCCTCTCTCCATTTGTGGGCCAGGAAGATGGATACCCTGTGGCAACTGTGCTATAGGAAAAGCTGAAAAACTTTTGTATGTTCATTCTGCTCTCTGCTCTCAGGGCCTCCTCACCTGATTTCCCTTCTCAGTCTTCTCATTTCCCTCCTGAGACTCAATAAATGTTTGCAGCATCCCAAAGTGTGTCACGGTGTGGTCTTTCCTTCTGCATAGAGATGGCCAAGAGAGAAAGCCATTGCTTTATTGGGAATTAGCTGTTGGCACTGCCTTACTCCTCTGTGCATCGGAGGGCGGGGCACACTGCAGCAAGTCATCTTTCAGTCACTGTCTCTTGAAGCTGAGGAAGACATCCCTAGTTCCTCCACACCCAATTGCCACCAGTCCTTCAGTTGTGACATTTCTACCTAGGCATGTTCCCTTGACCTTGAAGGTGCCATCTCTTGGGGAAGAGTGTTCATCTTGCTTTGGGTGGAGCTGTGCTGGGGATGAAGGCTTGGACAAAGATGTTCTGAAAGGATGGCTGAAACTGGGAATGAGTGATTGTCTTGAGGATGGCCCTCTGTCTCTACTCCACTTTTCCCTCTCTTCCACCACCTGATCATGAACAGAATTCCTGGGCATGAATAGCAGATTCAACTTGCCTGTGCAGCCCTATCACCCTTCAGCACAGAATCTGGCATGGCCCAGCTGTTGCCAAGATGCATAGTGCTGAGGGGACTCACAAGTTCGTGGTACTACTATATACAGGGGTGCACTCAATTTCATCATCTATGTCATTGAAGAAGATATTGAAAAGCACTGGCCACAAGACAGAGCCCTGATGGACACCACTCATCACCATTCTCCATCTGAATATAGAACCATTGACTACTACCCTCTTGGTGTGACCACCAAGACAATTCTTTATCAATCAGATGGTCTACTCTTCAAATACATATTTTTCCAATTTAGAGATTAGGATGTCATGTAGCACTGTGTCAAAGTCCTTACAGAAATACAAGGAGGTGACATCAGTCTTCCCATGTTGACTGATGCAGTTATTTCATCATAGAAGGCCACCCAATTGGTCAGGCACAAATTTACCCTTGCTGAAGCCATGGTGGCTATCCTGGATCACCTCCTTGTCCTGCATATACCTTAACATTGCCTGCGGAAGGATTCCATTTTACCACCAGTCAGAAGACTGAGGCAAAGTTAAGTACCTCTGCCTTCTACACATCTGTCATTACCAGTCTTCATTTGTCAGAGGCACTACTTACCTTAGTCTTTCTTTTGTGTCCAATGTACCTGCAGAACCTCTTCTTGTTATTATTTGCATCCCTTGTGAAATTTATTTCTGTCTTGGCTTTCCTCATCCCATCCCTGCACATCTGGACAGTGCTTGTATACTCTTCCCCGGGGACACGGTTCTGTTTCCACCGTCTGTGCATTTTCTTCTTTTGCCTGTTTGACCAGCACATCCTTATTCAACCATACTGGTTTCCTAACTTCTTGCTTGATTTATTACACATGGAAATAAAGGGCTCTTGCGCTCCAAGGAAAATATCCTTAAAGAGTTGCCAGTTCTGATCAGATCGTCTGTCCCTAAGGACTGTGTCCCATGGGATATCATCCACTAGGTCTTTTAACAGATGGAAGTTTTTTCTTCAGAGGTTCAGGGTCCTGACTTTGCTCTTTGCCAGGCCCGTATCCCTCAACATCACAAACTCAAATTGTGTGTGGTCACTGCAACCTAGGCTTCCTCCAATCTTAATCTCTTTTATGAGCTTTTCTACACTGGTGAGCACCAGGTCCAGTAATGCTTCTCCTTTGATTCATTTCTCTAGTACCTGGATGAGGGAGTTTTCCGCAATAGATTCCATGTGTCTCCTGGGTTGCTTACTGCCTGCCACATGGCTTTCCCAGCAAACATTCATGTGGTTGAAATCCCCCAGGAGGATGAGAGCCTGTGAGCATGATGTTTCCTGTAGCTAGGGCAAGAAGGGCTCTTCAACAGACTCTTCTTGATAAGACAGCCTGTAGTAGACCCCAACCACAAGATGCCCTTAGTTGGTCCAGTCCTTAATTTTTACTCACAGGCTCTCAACCTGCTCTTGGCTTTTTCTTAGGAGGAACTCTTCACTATCTTAACATACTCTTCACATTTCCTAACATAGAGGGCAACACCCCCACCCTTCCTTACCTGACTGTCTCTCCTGTAAAGCTTGTAGCCCTCCATTCCAATGTTCCAGCTGTGTGATTCACAGAATCACAGAATGTTAAGGATTGGAAGGGACCTTGAAAGATCATTTAGTTCAATTCCCCTGCCAGAGCAAAAACACCTAGATCACATTACAAAGGAATGTGTCCAGGTGGGTTTTGAATGTCTCCAGAGAAAGAGACTCCACAACCCCCCTGGGCAGCCTGTTCCAGTGTTCAATCAACCTCACCATGAAGAAGTTTCTTCTCGTATTTAAGTGGACCCACCTATGTTCCAGCTTGCACCCATTGCCCCTTCTCCTATCATTGGATGTCACTGAGAAGAGCCTGGCTCCATCCTCTTGACACTCACCCTTTACATATTTATAAACATTAGTAATGTCACCCCTCAGTCTCCTCTCCTCCAAGCTAGAGACACAGCTCCCTTAGCCTTTCCTCATAAGGGAGATGCTCCACTCCCTTAATCATCCTCATGGCTCTGTGCTAGACTCTCTCAAGCAGTTCCCTGTCCTGAGGGGGCCAGAACTGGATGCAATATTCCATATGTGGTCTCACCAAGGCAGAATAGATGGGGAGGAGAACCTCTCTCAGCCTACTAACCACACCCCTTCTAATATGCCCCAGGATGCCATTGGCCTTCTTGGCCACAAAGGCACAGTGCTGGCTCATGGTCATCCCACTGTTCATCAGGACCCCTAGGTCCCTTTGCCTTATGCTGCTCTCCAGCAAGTCAGTTCCCAATTTATACTGGTGCCTGGAGTTGTTCTTGCCCAGATACAGAACTCTATACTTGCCTTTGTTATATTTCACTAGATTTCTCCACGCTCAACTCTCCAGCATGTCTAGGTCCCACTGAATGGCAGCATAGACTTCCAGTGTGTCAGCCACTCTTCCCAGTTTAGTGTCATCAGCAAACTTGCTGACACTGAACTCTATTCCCTCATCCAAGTTGTTGATGAATATATTGAATAATACTGGTCCCGGTACTGACCCCTGAGAGACTCCACTAGATATAGGCCTCCAACTAGACTCTGTCCTATAGACCACAACTCTCTGGTTTCTTCCCTTCAGCCTGTTCACAGCTAACCTCACTACCCGATCATCCAGATCACACTTCCTTAGTTTAGCCATGAAGATGCTGTGGGAGACTGTCAAATGCTTTACAATCAAGACAGACCATGTCCACTGCTTCACCATCATCTATCCACCTGGTTATATCTTCATAAAAGTTATCAGGTTGGTCCAGCATTCCCCTTGCTGAAGCCATGTTGACTGCCCTTAATGACCCTTTTGTCCTTGATATGCCTAGAGATAACATGAAAGATAAATTGTTTCACCACCTTTTCAGGGGTGGAGGTGAGGCTGGCCAGTCTATAGTTACCTGGGTCCTCCTTCTAGACCTTTTTGAGGACTGGAGTGACATTTGCTTTCCTCCAGTCCTCAGGCACCTCTCCCATTACCCACAACTTACCAAAGATGATGGAGAGTGGCCTAGCAATGATTTCTACCAGCTTCCTCAGCACCTGCAGGTGCATCCCATCAGGACCCATGGATTTATGGATGTCCAGCTTGCTTAAACAGTCCTTAACCCAGTCCTCATCACCAAGGCAAACTCCTCCTTCATTCCGACTCCGGAATGGGCCTCCAGGGTACCCAGAAGAACAAAATATTTGAAGAAGCCCTTTCTGTTGTCCTTGACTCCTCTTGCAAGGTTTAATTCTAAGGAAGCCTTAGCCTTCCTAGTTGCCTCCCTACATCCTCTGACAACAGCATTATATGCCTCCCAGGTGGCCAGCCCCTCCTTCCATGATCTGTTAATTCTCCTCTTCAACTTGAGTTTGCCCAGCAGTTCCCTGTTTAACCATGCAGGTCTCCTGGCTCTCTTTCTTGACTTCCAACCTGTTGAGATGCTCTGATCTTGAGCTTGGAAATAGCAGTCCTTGAATTCTAACCAACTATCTTGGGCCCCTTTAAATTCAAGCACCCTGTCCCATGGGATTCCCTCTAGCAATTGCTTGGAAAGGCCAAAGTTGGCTCTACTGAAGTCCAGGGTTGCAATTCTGTTGGGTATTCTGTTCCTGATATATGATATCTTGAACTCCGCCATCTCATGGTTGCTGCTACCAAGCCTGCCCTCAACCTTCACCACTTCAACCAGCCCCTTTTTGTTAGTGAGGACAAGATCCAGCAGCCCTCCTCTCCTAGTTGGCACATCCACCATTTGCATCAGGAAGTTATCATCAATGCACTGGAGGAACTGCGGATGGCTGGCTGAGTAGGCCTTATAGCAAATGTCAGGGTAGGTGAAATCCCCCATGATAACCAGGGCCTGTAATTGAGAGGCTGCTCTCAGCTGCCTGTAGAAGGCCTTGTCAACTTCTTCATACTAATCTGGTGGCCTGTAATAGACACCGATAACAGTATCCGCCATGCCAGCCTGTCCCTTATTTCTCACCCACAGACTCTCAACTCACTCCTCATCCACCCTTGGACAGTACTCAATCTATTGTAGTTGCTCT